ATCGGCACATTCATCAAATGCCTCGATTGGCTGCATCAGGGATGGCTTCAGTGGCTCGCGCTGCCGCCGTCGGCACTGCTCTCGCGGGTCCGATTGAGACTGTCACGGCACAGAGAAAGTGATATACAGCCGCCGCCTCACCCACGGAGCACGCTTCGCACACGCACAACACACACGCCCCGCCCCAGCCAGGCGGCAGCGCGGTCTAGGGCAGCACAGGTGCAGGCGAGGTGATCGGTTGTAAACACGGCGCCTGTGTTTTCGCTGGCCGTCAGCATCGGCGGCGGCGGCGGCCGTCACAACGCGGAGGGAAAAGCAAAAAACAACAACAACAACTGAAACGGACAAGCCACCAAAGAAGCAAATAAGCCCCTAAAACATCCTACGCTAGAGGAAAGCCAATGGAGCAAGAAAAAAGAAAGAAATAGAAAAAAAAGGAGAGACAGCTGGGCGCCACACGCCCACGGAACTCCGCCTGACACAAAAGCGGAGAGCATGTTGGCACGCGCCCTCCTCCCCTCCCAACACCGTCAAGGAAATTCTTCACGGCACGCTGGGGCGCCCCCGCGGGGTCTTGCGCGGCGCGCGGCAAAAGTGGGCAGCGAGGGATGAAACCACGTCCCTGCGCCGCCGCTCCGCCGCCACGCCTCTGGCCGCCGAGGGCCATCCCACGGACGGGGGGAATGCACTTCCTCGACACCGGTCCTCCCCAAGCAAACGTCCCTCGCAAAACTTAATCGAGCGTCCTCCGCCGGGCGGCGCAGGCAATGCGGAACCACAGGCTCCTCTGCGGGCCAGAGAAGGCGCAAGGGAGGCATCGGCCCGCACGGGCAGAGAACAAAAATAAAAGCAAACAAAAAAACACGACCTGAAAAAAAAAATGTGTGTAGCCCAGCAGAGGAGGAATCCTCAAAAGCAAAGAAAAAAGGAGGGGAAGGCGCGGTGTCGGCCGCAGATGCGGGCTCAGGGAGCCACAAGCGCCGCGCCGGTCACGAGGCCGAGAAGGAGCGACGCCCAAACGGCCACCGGGGCGCTGGCATCGCGGTGTCCGCCCCGCGCATGCTGCGTCGGAGGTCTGCCGGCGGCGCCGTGCTTCAACATCGTGAGGCAGACGTCGCTGAACGCGGGACACGTTATGCGGCCGGCCGTGAACGGCGCCGCCGGCGTCAGCTTGCGGCCGCTCGGGCACGGCAGCCACTCCTTGCTGCCCTTGTGCCGCACACTTAACGAGCCCTCGCCGCACCGCACCTCCACGCACACGTCACCCACGGCGACGCTGCCCAGCCGAAGGCCCTCCCCAGCCAAGCAACGCGATGCCGGGCCAACCACACTCCCAGGCATGGCCGCCTCGCTGCCGCCCACGCACCCGGTGTCGTTCCCCGGCGCGATGAAGGGGCAGTAGCTCATCAGGGCCTCGCGCGGGGAGCCCTTCTTCGCGGCAAAGTACACAAACTCCGGCGGGATCCTCTCGTCCTCGCGCAGTAAGCAGCTCCCCAGCGACTGGCGATCAGAGGTACACCGCAGGGCGCCGCCGCCCGAGCCGGTGCAGAACATCTCGGGGTAGTTCGTGGCGCCCTCATTCACGCACTTCTCGGTCAGCAGCCTGCACCCGGCTCCGCTGCCCCACGCCATCGGCTCCGCCTTCTGGAAATCCACCTTGTAGTAGCCGAGGTCGGCAAAAAGCGCCATTGTGATTGCCGTGTAGTAGCCGGAAACAACGAAGCCCGCCATCAGCTCATCCTTCGCGTTGCGCCGCGACCAGTGCGAATTCAGCCCCAACCACGACGGCGGCCTCCACCGCTTCTCCACCACCAAAAGCTCGGTGCCTGTGGAAGCCTGCGCGCCACCGCCTCCCTCCGCCGCCGCCGCCGCCTGCGGTGTTGCAAGAAGCAAAGAAGCGGGCCCAGGTGGGGAAAGAGACTGCCCCGGACCTTCTCGCCCTCTTCTTACTGGTCCCCCCGGCCCATCCATACCGGGTGGAGTATCCCCAAGCCCTGCGACGGGTCTTCCACGGGACGTTGGAGGCCTCTCTCCCTCTCGCCTTTGCCCGCCCGCCGACACACTTCGAACCACCGGTCCATTACGGGCAGGCAGCGCCCCTTCTGTCGCTCGCCCCGGAGGCCCCGGTGGAGTCACGCGCGACTGCGTTGGCCGTGCCGCCTGCCCCCCAGCTGCCGGCGGTCGCATTGACGGCACATACTCCAGCTCCATGCCCGCCGCCGACTCGCAGCCGTAGTGCAGCCTTGCCTTCTCCCGCGTATTCGTGGAGTGCACA